GACATAAAGTCCACGACGGAACAGTTCGCCCTGTTGCTTTCGCGTCCCGCACATTACAACCTGCTGAGAAAAATTACGCACAATTAGACAAGGAAGCACTGGTAGTAGTATTCGGAGTAAAGCGGTTCCATCGGTACTTGTGGGGCAACCAGTTTGAGATACAGACTGACCATAAACCACTGTTATCACTTCTTGGTAAGGAAAGAGGCATAGAACAACTTAACGCACCCCGAATGGTACGCTGGGCCCTCCTACTTTCTGCTTACAATTATCCAATCCGATACATGGCCGGTCCTCACAATAATGTAGCTGATGCGCTCAGTAGATTGCCACAGATTGACCAACAGGAGCAAAGAAGTGACGCGTCCTACGAGTTTGTTCAACTTTTGCAACACCTGAATACTACACCCATATCTGGCGACATGGTTAGGAAAGCTACAGACAGAGATCCCATTCTATCGACTGTGAAACGTATGCTGCTGCGTGGCTGGGGTTCGCGAGTCCCTGGTGATCTGCGTCCGTTTTACAATTGTAGATTTGAGCTGCGCCTGCATGAAGGATGTATCCTACGTGGATCTCGCATCGTTATTCCATTGACTCTCAGGTCAGCTGTACCGAAAGAATTACATGATGCGCATCCAGGTATTGTCCGCATGAAAGCCCTCGCCAGATCCTACTGCTGGTGGCCAGCGATTGACCGAGACATCGAAGCACTTTTGAGTACTTGTAACACATGACAAAAATATCAAAGAGATAATCCAACAGGCCCAATTCATCCTTGGCAGTTGCCCGACAGCCCATGGGAACGTGTCCATGCCGATTACTTTGGCCCGATCGAAAGAAAAATGTTGCTACTTTTAGTAGATGCGTACTCCAAATGGATTGATGTGCATGTTATTGCAAACGCTACTGCAGAAGCTACAATCAATGGTGTACGCTCTAGTCTATCTACACATGGCATACCGAAAACATTAGTCACTGACAACGGTCCGCAATTTACGAGTGCAGCGATCAAAGAATACCTGCAGAGCAACGGCGTTCATCACATGAATTCCGCACCGTACCATCCAGCGTCAAACGGTTTAGCTGAAAGAGCGGTCCAAACCGTGAAAGCTGGTCTTCTAAAGCAGCGTAATGGCTCGTTACGAACCAAACTTGACCGATTCTTGTTCGCATATCGGATCACACCGCTAGAGTCTATCGGATAGAGCCCTGGGGAGGCAATGTTTGGACGTCGACTACGTACGAGGCTAGACCTACTTTTTCCAGACCCTCGTCAGGCCAGGCGTTGCCAGCAACAACGTATGCATGAAAGTGGACGCGCACCAGTTAAGCCCCAGAAGTCGATAGTGGAACGTGATGTTTACACGAACTACCACATGAGCAGTTATGGCAGCCTGGCACCGTGCTTACGAGCTCAGAAACGGAGGCCGAAATACAACTAGAGAGTGGAGAGACAGTACGCAGGCACAATGATTTCATCCGGCCCCGCACCCCAGTCACACCGTACCCTGGGGAAGAGAAAGTGGTTCCAGAAGATCTGGAGGAGACAAACAAAAACCAAACGGAAGAAATCGATCAGCCGGTTGCTATTCGGAAACCGCACCGCTCACCTAAACCGATAGAACGTTACATTTCACAATTGTGATTCCATCTGTCACGTGAGGGGATGTTACATATGTGTCGTCCGCTAAACCGATGAGCAAACGCAGACACATACAGATCGATTGACCGATAGGTGATTCGTCCACTCTTTTTCCTTGTGCTGATTGGTTCCTTTTCGACTTATTCATCTGGTGTAACCTACAAGCTATCTATTACTGTTTTTGACACGTCCCATCCGGTGTGTGCTCTTATTCACTTCTTGCGCGGACTAAGGGTCCAGGTGCGATCCAACAATACTCGAGTAATACGTATCAATAGTGCTTGGCGGCTATCGACATGATCACTAGGCCATTACGCTCCGCGAGCAGTGTTTGGCACAGCGGTTAGAAATAGATTTTCGGGTATTTGGAGCACCCACCGTGTGTCTTGGATTGCGACGCGCATTCTCACTAGTGGCGTCGGTTGACTTTGAAGTCAGCCTCTGCCAATACGATCACTGGGACCGTCACCGACGCCACTAGTGAGATTGCGCGTCGCAATCCAAGACACACGGCGGGTGCTCCAAATACCAGATAATCTATTTCTAACCGCTGTGTCAAACACTGCTCGCGTAGTTCAATGGCTTAGTCATCATGTCGATAGCCGCCAAGCACTATGCGCTGAGTTCCACTCCCAGCTCGATTATCTCTACCTGATGAGTCTAAACAAAGACGAAACAATCATTCTTAGTATGGCAAATGCTTTTGAATCGGAAATATGCTAACTGTTGCCCATTGTCTACGTTGCACTCCACAACAGGTTCCACACGTTGTTAAAATATCGTCAGGTAGAGATAGCGGGACTACGACTCAAACTCGGAACCTTCGGGATGTCAGCTGAAACCACTCCTAATCCACCTAGTTGCGGCTGCCAACACTTTCGCAACAGTTAATAACTTGGGTAGGAATTCATCTAATTAAGACTCAGGGAGGAAGCCATCATACACCCGGAAATGCGCTGTACGGTCGTTTCATATTTTCGGGCATCATCAGCAATGCGCACTCCATCTGAGCCTTTGTGGGGCTCTAATCTACAACTCGACTGTTGCCAGTCTAGGGTTGAGACCACTGAACTACGGCGGACGGTAACGACCAACATGACTTGTTAGATTTGATGGATTTCTGTTTATATCACTCAACCCCACTTACTCCTTCCTTGTAATAAGTGAAGAACTCATTGGACTGGTCATTTTGAAGCAGACGTGTGAACGGAGTGTAAGATGCTCTCTCTCACTGTAGTCTGCAGTCCACGTTGAAGTGAACCTCGATCATTTCGATCACTAGGACGGATCCGGAAGCTGATGAATGCTGTATGGTACATTTGCAACACTGGACTCCCCGAAGAGAATGCGCCAAATCGGTCGAATTAAGAAGTTTGCCAGACAACGATGCAATTGCGCAACACAACCAGCATACACGGAGTTCTGTTGCCTTGGCTATGGTCGGCTTACATATGCGGACCACCAGTCGGGATGACGATTCATACTATGACTCTTCTTAACGATGTACCCACATGAATCAACTGCACATGAGTTATCTCCGGTCGAATCCGAAGTTGCAGCTGTGTTGTAGTAGTGCATTACTCCGTATAAGAAAGTAGTACGGTTTGAGCGAGTAAGTGATTTTTGAATGCGTTTTTTAAGCGTTCAGCTATTTTGAAACACTCCGGTAGCAAATGAACTTTCGACTCGTTTAATACCTACACGAGAAGGAGGCATTTCACGAGACAATAAAGCCATGGAAACTAGCATCTAAAGGTAAAAGGAATGTTTAAAAGCCTGCTGGCTAGTAATTTGAGAGGCTCACAAAAATTTGGTATGCCAAGTCTTTCAGGGACGGTGGTAAAGTGGTTCTGCCTAAGCATTAAAATGCTCAATGAAGCTGAAATTTTCATGCGCCGAAGTCATATACGAAGATAATTAGGAGCCAACATGCGACTCAGTTGCAAGTATAGAACTATTCAAATAGGAAAATCAGAAGACGTAATTTCGTGCATTTTTATAGTAAAACATGCATTCTTAAGATAGGAACCAAAAACAGTACCATACGAGATCGCAAGCACTTGCGCTACAGGAGTGGACTTAGAATTACGGTCAACTATTTGTGAATGCACAGCGATGGGCATTTGCGATCGATAAAGATGTTTCCAGTGGCCTGAGCATGTCGTTTTGCTGATCTTGCATAAGGATATTGAATGATCCAGCAGTATTGACTCGGTGCCGGGTGGTAGGCAATTGCTTTGTGGTTGCTGAAGCACGACGTTTTCCAGATGCAAATGGTTCTGGCGTCGCAAACCCCACCCGACTGCACAACCGATTGGGGATATAGTCATTGATTCCAACACCCAAACTTCGATCATTGCGCCCAACGCATAAGCGCAGGTCACGTCCAGGTGAGGAGCCGCAGGTATGTTGCATGGTACTCTCTCTTTAGCCAAAGCCTAATTCGTTTCTCGGTAACCCTCACCTTTGAAGAGCAGCTCCATGAAGGTTGGCTTATTATGGACACGATTTCTTTGGTTGTTCCACTGAGGTACTTAATAAACTGTAACTGTTAGTTGTTGGACTGTAGCGCATTGAAGACCAGATCTCTCTATACCTACAGTGATTGGCGAGAGGAGAACCTCATAAGATGCAAACACTGATCAGTCCATGTTGACTTTTTGTGGACAGAATTTCCTGTGGAATTGACTGGCAGCCGTGTAACCATAACACCCAGATACAGGAGACAATGGCCTAGCTCAATTTCACGTGTTACTGTAAGGTTCGGGTGTAGGCCGCATGTGCGGTGTCCACATCTTACTCTATGCTTACCAACATACTGTCAACATAACGCTTATACAGAGTCGTCGATGTTGTGACGGCTATACCATTTCTTTAACCATATCAATGAACACATCTGTCAACAATGGGTATAATTAGCTACCCATCACCACAACGTCTGTCTGCCAATTTACCTTCCCTTGAAAGCAAAACTTGGTTGCTCTGTGCATAGAAGAAGCAAGTTCTTTAGCAATGTCATGGGAAACCACAGTCGAACCCCCCGTTTTGAGATAACATTTCACATATATCAACATTCTCGTTCAGCGATGTTGGTGAAGAATGACTGAACATCAAGTAAGCCCATTCACCCTCTGCACAAGTCCACGTATCCCATATAACGAAGTATTTCAAAAGTGCTTGACAAACGATGCGTTGTCAGGAATTTCTGATGGTGTCAATCGTGCTGTTCAGCAATTTTTCAATGACGTGGGAATCCCTGCTTTATGAACTTTAAGCAGGCCGCCTATATTAGGCGTCGGATACAAATCCACGAAACCTTAGGATTTACAATTCATAAGTTATTTTCTATTGAAAGATGGTGTCATTTGTATCAAAGCATGTATCATCCTCACAAGTTTATGCATGTTTATATACATTACCAGCCGAGGGATCACAGTGCAAATCAGGCGAACTGCTTCACAACTCTTTGGCCGGCTTGAATAACGTCACATACTACATCAACGCCGAGTCCCCGCGGGTGGTGGCCACCCGGCAATATGCCATCGCGGAAGGTATGTTCACTTGCCAGCTGTCGTGTGGTTCGATTTCCTCCGTTATTTGTAAGAGTTGCGTTTTTATGATAATCATTTTGCAGACGGCTCTAATGAGTCACTGATCTGTTTTGGACAAAGCACGGGATATTACCGATGCTGAGAAATTACAAAATGCTGACCCGGATTGGAACGCTGGAGTCGGCTCCGACTAAGATGCGTCTGCAGGCTAAGCAATATAAAGATGAGGATTGCTTTGGGCATGAAGTTACGTCGGATCAGCCGATTAGTAAACGGACAGGTTCTTTGTCTTACGATGCTTGTGGTCTTCCTTCTGATGTCGTTCTTCGATCAGCTTCTCTAAAGTCGATAACTTGCGCACGGCGCTTGTCGTCGGTGGCGCGTTTGGATGATCCATCGTCAGTCTCAATTTCGGATGTTCGGAATCGAGACGCAGACCACCAGTTGGATTCACATGACGCCACTAATAGTTTTCTTGAACTGAAATCCAACTGTTTCAGTCCTAACACGACGTCCTGTCTCCGTAAGCGAGAGCAGATCACATTTGATGGTAATACAGATCCCTATTGGATTTTTATACGATGCTTTGAAGGTAATGTGACCTGAACAACTTTCGATCCGACTTCCATATCTGATACAATACTGTTGTGGTGAGGTCAAAGAAGCCATCGAAAGCTGTTTCTTCCTCGAACCTGTTGAAAGTTTCGAAGAAATAATGCGTATTTTGCGCAAGCACTTCGGACGACCTCACATGATAGCGAGGACCCACATCAATGAGTTAACTTTTTGAATCCTGAATTCATTTACCTAAACTTTTAATTATTTTATATGTCTTAAGGTAGATTATGGTTAGTAATAAACAAAGAAAGACAATTTTAATAGACATTTACACATTTATTTTTAAGGTGATACTTGTAATTACCGACAGGAACGTAGGTTATCAGCATCGTCACCATGAAGGTAAATTACTGAAAACGATATTCTTGGATACAGTTCTATTGTCGTTGCAGCACAAAAATATCACAAAATGATTTTGTGTGTGGTCTTGATTGCTCTGTTTGTATGGAACACACACACCACATCTTCCCCTTTCTGCAACAAATGCAGGCCAGTGATCGCCAAGTTTGTGTGCCCTGATGGCTTTAGGCACATAATACTTGTTTTTCCTTCGTCTCTGGTTCATTTGGTGTTTTGTATGGATTGAAGGACGACCACTTTTTCACTGGTCTGCTTACCATGGCGACAAGCCCCATTGCAAAGCTTCTTCGAAACTCCAGAAGTGAGATGTCATGATGCATGTCCTTATACATCACATGTGCATATGTCATTTCCATCACCGCAAAAACAGTCTAGGCCACGATTTCCTGTCATAATCATATAGTGCGCGTAGCATATCTGTTTTGTCCATTCCACCCATGGCTGAATCGTTATCTTGTACTATCATTAGGTGCAACTACGTCGGCCATTGTTCCAATCCGCTCTTTACGCCTCACAATAATTGATTCGCCCATGGTAATTGGACAACAGATGATCACACCTTTTGTCTTTTCACTTGAAGAACACAATTTCTTGATCTGTAGAACGATAATCAAAGTTACCTCTCTTCGTCTCCTTGTCCTTTTGAAGTTTAGGAAGATGTTTCCTATTGGGACGGACAGTTCCACAGGCAAGATGTTGTTTGCCATTAGATGCGCAAATAGTTCTACAGATGTGAAACAATTATCCATTAACACAACAAAAGCCACTCCTTTTCAGAGTTTATGTGAGCCTATCCACAACACCCCTCCAATCCAAATCCGTCTTTAGAACTAGGAGTGTCCTGTGATTTGCCTTGATAAACTTCAAACTCAAATATAACCACTCATTTGGGCTCGACACAATATTTTGTAACCAGGTTTTACTGCCTTCATATCACAGCATATGTATACGCAATACTTGAAATGAAGATAATAATGACTGTTAAATCAATTACTTTCTGTTACAAGAATAAATTGTTCCAATCTCTAAATTTTTCGCCCCACCCCATCGTTATGCCCAGTAGACGCTCTAACTGTTAATATTCCGCTTGAGGCCTGTCGGTACTTTCTGGTAGCAACATATATGTTGGATCAGTATAATACGGATTATGCTTAAACTTGTAAAATAAACATACCGAATCATGGCATGTCCATTACAAAAACGACTAAAATTAGTAGGACTGGCAAGCTGAAACAAAACCAACAAAATGTTAACAAACAGAGCAACCACTCACAGTTCACTGAAACCAATTTGCGACCACGCTCGACATGGAACACAAAAATTAACACCATACACTGTAGAGCAAAGTAGCGTAGTTCTGGCTTTTACCTGATTGTTGGCAGAAGGCTGTTATACGTATCCTCGCGTGTACCGGCAGGAATAACGCTTGCATTTAAACAATATTACAAATTAAACAAAGTGGTACTTATAAGTACCGCCAGGACACAAAGAGTTAACTGATGGACCTAATATCAAGCTCAATGATTTTATAGCCGTCTCACGTTTAGTTGTGGAACTGCGGTCCTGATAATTAACGGGAGTATATACTGCTCCGCATATACCGTGTAAGGGTGTCATATGTCATCATGCCGTGCCATAGAAAAAGCTATTTAATTCGGTACAATTTGTGAGACCGAGTAACTTATTCTCACAACATGACTCTCAGTACTTATCCTGCGGTTAGCCTGAAAGAAGGGAAGTGCAGTTGGTAGCGAGGTACTTTGCTCCTCCTTTGGATGCACTTAAGGTGACACGTTACCTGCACCTGATACTTATTAAAAGTGGTCACCAAATTCAGATAGGCGGATTTTGCGAATAATCGAACAACATCCACTTCGGTTATTGTCAAGTGTCAATAACATGAACAACTGCTAGCCATGAAGCTGCAACAGCGGACCTGCTTCATACCATGGATGAAACAACCGAAGAAAAAATGTGCATTTTGAAGTGGTCATGAGTTGTAACGATTCATTGCAGCAGCAATAAATTAGGGGAATTTTGACACCACGCAGGTAACTTTCAGGTAAAAATTATTTAACTGGGGTGCTAATCAGTGTGCGGTAGGAGACTGCTCATCTAACCGAATAGAATTAACCCAGGCCACTGAATTACACTAGACTCAGTTACAAATGAACATATATTCCGACAAACGGCGACTAACAGTATACTTGTCTTAAAGCTACCTAGAAATCCAGACGAAATATCATTTATCCTTTAAATTGTAGTGCTACTTGGCAGCGTTCTGCCCGGGAACACAAATCCGGACATAATCCTCGGTTGCATACGTGTGTTTGGCAATCTATCCAGGCAGGCATCCGTAAGGAATTGGTTATTGTATAATGGAGGAAAGACCTTACTTGAGGCAATGAATACCCCTCCATCAACACATGCTGACGAAAGAAAAGTGGAGATTGATGAGGAATATACCTTCCTTCATTTCATCACTCAATTTCTGGACGCTGCGCGACCGGAGCTAGTCTACAGCACTTTGGGCGTGCTAATCAACTTGATGGCTGACGACGAGCAGAGACCCATTTTCCGCAAACTGGGAGGACCAGCCAAGTAGGTTGAATAGCCAATGCACTTGCATGCTCTTTTGCTGCTCTTTTGCAAAGCAACTGAGGATATGTAACATTTTGAAGCCTAACCCTACTGTTTATCTGTGGGGGGGGGGTGAAAGTGAAATGTTAAAAACAGTAAACATAAGTTAGTTAAAATATTAGGTGATGTAGAATACCAGTCCCATCGACCTTTTGCCCCAGTTAAAAATGTGCACAATGTCATTGGCTTGCTATAGTATAGCTTTTCCAATCATGTGTAGTAATGGAAGGCATAGTAAAACCTCCGAAGTTGAGCACCTCTGCATCCCTAGCAACTCTCTAAATTGACCGTTTTATTTTCCATGTAACCGTTATGGATCCATACATCTGTAAGTTGACCACTCAGTAATTTAACCACTTTGGTCCAGTCCCTTGAGTGGTCAACTTACGGAGGTTTTACTGTAACACACAGAGATAGACAATCGGCATACATTCGAGGACGGTTGTTAACTACAGGTGGAGATAGATCAGCACTGTACACAAATGAATTGGTCCACAATAAACAATTCAGTAAAGGCGGTGACATTATCTTTCAGACGTTGATCGGTGGAAGAAGTGATTATACTGAGAGCATGAACAGGTTCAGTTTGACACTGTGCGGAGAACTACAATCCGTTTAGATCTACCATTTACCGATTGGTTTTTACTTTGAACTAGTCAGACTATAATCGCCCGCACTTCCGACCTACAGTGAAACAATGATGTGTTACGGGTAAAAAGAAGGCAATACTGAACATTTCCCGTGAGATAGAGAGAATTCAGCAAAGTAAACATGATGATGAAATCAAAGGCGTCTTAGTGAACACACCATAATTTTTGCGTTGGGACATGCGCATAAGTGCCAAGATATTCACACGATAATAGGTATAAATCCAATTTGTTAGAATTGTGAAAACACACCGTTCAGTTGTTTTATGTAGCTTCCTGAATACTGTATTATAGAGCAAGTAGAAATGAATTCTGTACAACTCTTCCAGGCTTACAGTTATAGAATGGAATGCGAATGGGACAATGCCTCTTCGTATTTTTTAAAATATCGTTAAACTTGGGGCAGAGAGTACATAATTTGGTTGACATGCTCGGAGAGAGTAGAAAGTTGTAGGACATTCCAACCAGCTATACTGTACTGTCAGCTTCAAAGAACGACCTCTTAGGTTGGTTTGTGGTTCATTTGAAGCAGTAGTCGGCAAATATGGTTCGGGTTCTTCAGAATCTGGTAAAGCATTATGATGTATCACCCGCAAGCGCCGATATCGACTGTTGTACATTTCTAGGGACTTCCATTTAAGCTGGTAAGGCAAATGGAAGAGGACCCTGATGTTCTTGGATGACATTCGTTGAGGAATTTCGAGAACAGCGAGATCTCGCCTCTGCCACGGGTGCTACGCATAGATGGTGCATTCCGCTTGTAGTCGCACGTAGGCGTTAAGCATTTCTGGAAAGATTGATGGGTCAAACTGACAGACTCTTCTGCGAAGAAGGCCGACATGTTGATTACTGGTTCTTGACGCCTTTTTATTGGTTCGAGTAGCCTAGGTTGTCCAGAACTATTACCCCAAGGTCACCCTCATGACAAGAATTCTGGAAGGTGTGGTCTCTTAGCTTGTATATGCTCACCGGCTGGTGATGCAGGGGAATCACCTTGTACTTAGCTGTGTTAAACTAGAGTAAAAAAGGGCAGCAGCAGTACGGCGGTACGCAGTACCGACGCTTCACTGCTATGACACCGTCAACAGTCGCACGTGAGCTAAAGATACTGCGAGGGTGCTCCGGTCCCTACGCAGGCTCGAACCCGCACCCTCAGATTACAAGCAGGCTTGTGATCCTTAAGGCTAAGAGTAGGTTACACGTTGACCACATGAATGCGGTGCAGGTCAAGTTAGAGGAAATCGTGCTCTTTATTGCTAACAAACACTCAACATATCGCACCAGCATCGGTGAAAGTTGGAAGTTCGATGCGTGAGCCACGCACCCTTTCTCGGTTGGTGGATACATGCCTCGCAGTGCAGACATGCTACGCTTGCCAGTAACAGTACCTACTACCCATTTCTACGTAGTAGTATGGACCACTTGGGTGATATCTAATTTAAGTAAAATGTGTACCGGTTGAACATTCTAGAAACTTTTGCTGAAACCGATATACTGTGTTTATTCAAAAATGCAAAATCTCTCGTCTAGGTATGATCGTTGCCTGGCCTGATAAATGTCGACAGATGAAACGTCGGTGGGCGCAGCCTTTATTTCTGCTTCTGAACTAACTTCAATGCTCCACATCTTATCGGCCATTTTCCTTCTAGGCTCCTAAATGTCCTACGTGACTTCGCTGGATATGACTGGCAATTAGCTGGTCTCGCGTGCAAAACAGTTTGGAACTACACAGAAACGCAGGAAGAGTCCATCCAGCAATTGATTCCCGGTGAAACCTTGGACGAGCTGTACATTTACCTATCCGAATTCACAGGTGAGTGGTGTGTTTTAGGTTGTGGTGTGAAAAATTCCAAGCGGCCTAAACCGTCTACACATTCCCACGGGAGTATGAGAAACATGAACGAAAGCACAAGTATGGAGGGATGAAAGTTGTGTGTTGTACGCTGGTATTGCCTTTCACAACCGGTGTGATACCGGTTTGCACTGGTCAAGTAAGAAAAGCAGGACTGCAACCCGAACCGGGAACTTTGGGGCTATCAGCCTAATAATAAATAATAATAATGTGCCAGCTGTACGCCGTAACGGCGCTTCGCTGCCGCGCGACCACCACCAGTCGCGCGCGGGCTGAGTATACCGCGAGGACGCCCACCCCTATTAGCCTAAGCCTGTGGGCCTACGCCAGCGAGCAGTAGTTATAAAATCTTCCGCCTAAGGGTTGTTTTCGAAGCATCCGCAGCGCGAATAAAGTGCACTAAGGCGGGCGGACAACATCCATTTAGCTGCTTTTGATTCCATCTCAATGACCGAAGTTCACGTCAACATCAATCGTTCACCGGATTAAGATTACGTGTTATAACATATACAAAAAGTGGGTGGTTCAACGTGAACCAATAGTGTCAGATGTTTGACGCACACAAAGTATTCGTACCCCATTTGAATGCGATAGTCTCCATAACACACAGTCAGATTGTAGCAAGAATAAAGCGACAAGGAAGCACAATCTTTATTGCACACGACCAAGGTTTTTCACAAGCTGTGCGCACGCGTGCATTTATGGACCATGTTTCCGTTCCACAACACAACATACATAAGGAATCACAACATGTCAGCTTCGTGCCTCGTCAGCCAGAATATTTCATGACCTTGGTTGCCTGTCTGATCCCGTAGCTTTGCTTCCCTAGCTCTCATTCGGACCAGCCTGGAGATGTTCTAAAGCTATTGATTTGCTTGATCTCGGCTGCGTTATTCGGCTTCGGGTTACTCCAGAGTGCACCGACAAGGATGTTTTGGTCCGATTTATTGACCTATCAAGACATCCCTTTTCAGTTCTCTTTGGATCAGGCATATTCTCCTTCGTTGCTTGCGTTCCACTCTCTGCTCGTGTTGTAGGGCTGGGGTTGTGTTGTCCGATATCTGCGCCCGTTTCGGCCCTCACTCGTTCTAGTGGCTTTTCCGTCTCCTGCGTGATCGCTGCCTTCTGCGTCACTACAATATCAACAATGGTCACCAGCGAAAATATGCTAGATCTAGTAAAGTGGCGTTGTAGGTGGATAGGCTTTAAACCAGTAGGGTTGTAAATGGAATTTGAACAGGATATCTAGCAAGGAAACAACGACAGCTAATGGGCATCACGTGATGGAAAATATCCAGTGGTCAGATGGCAAGTGTGCTTCTATGTGAGTAATCAGAAATAGGAACATGGTGGCAGATCCGCAAAATCAAAGAGAGATGTAGCGATACAAAATGAATAATGAAGAACAGATTTAAGCATTTGGTGTCGGAATTCGAGTTGTATTTCAATGGAACAAGTTTTATGGGAGTAAGAAAGCTAATGCTTACCGGATCCCGTAGGATGGTTATGGTGAAACTAAAAAATACAAAGAGAATGATAGCAAAATTGGGTTTACACCAGTGAACTCACTGAAGTATGCGTAGTATAGGCTATAAATCCGAGGTAAATCCACAAAAAGTGATGGCAAATGGGATTTCGGTAAAAATTGTGTCTCCTTCTGGTGTGCACATACAGGAGGTGAAAAACGTGGAACGAAATCCTTGATTGTACCTCCAGTAAAACAACTTAGACACTTGTGATCATCCATGAGTAGTGGGTCATGTAAGATGGTGCAGCGAAATAAGTGCACGGTCAACTCGGGATTCGAACACCACCAACCTGGGAGCACATATGACAGATTTCATTAGAGCATTCCAAGTTCGGCAAACGCGTATGGAAAAGAAATTCCGACGGCATTCCAAGCCACTGTGCTGCTTTGCCAGTTTGAGATGGTGGCCTCACAAATTGCTGTTGTGACTGAGCCCTAGCAAGTAGCGACATGTGGTTGGGATCTCTCAAAATCTGGTAAGCCCAATTGCGGTCCCCGCGCAATCGCCGATATTGTCCGCTGAAGTCGCCGAGAACAAGTAGGCTTCGTTCATACGGCAAATTATACAGACCCTTGACATTCATGGTTGCACGGCGTTGGGGTATCTCCAAGGCAGTGAAATCTCTCCTCAGCCATGGATGCCAAACCTGTATTGCGTATTTCACATGTGACCGTATGCATGAGCCGACGAGTTGTGGAAAAATCGAAGGGCCGAACCGTTCGAATACATGCTTCAGGAAGCCCATAGGTTGGATGCCCCTCCTAGATGCAGTCTCAGCCTACTTCGAACATCCAAGGTCGACCTGGACCAAAACTAGATCCTTCTCACCAGAAGGCGTATGAAGTCCATGGTTGCAGAGTCAGTCAGAGTACACCAACTTGTGCCGTAAGTGCAGCACTCCACATGTGTCCACATTGAATAGTAGATCCTGGATTGACCACGCGTATACCCTACCCAGATCAGCTTGAAGTATTGTGATATTATCTGGTGTATTGACCGCCCTCCACACCTTGATGTCATCGGCAGTTCGAGCTTATGATGAGTGTGATATCGTTAGTATAAGTCAAAAAGCGATGTCTTAGTACCGATCCCCGTGATACTCCCCATTCAACTCGGATGGGATCTGACAGTGATTCAGGCACACGTACTTCCAGGTGCCGGTGCAGAAGAAACCTTCTAATCCATCCTAGGAGTGGATCACCGATACCACATGTCTGGAGTTTAAAGAGCAGACTGTTATGGTTCAACCGGTCGAACGCGTATGAGAAGTCGAGAAAGACTACATCAACTCTTGTGCCAGAATCTACTGCTTCAGTCCAGGTGGATCGTACAGTACTACATTTGCAGTGCACAATCGATTTCGTCGGACGCCAGGTTGTTTCGGTGCGAGGTAGTTTAATTCTTCCAAGTAGGCCGTCAGCGCATCAGAAATGATCGCTTCCATGACGTTTGAAAGAACTTGTATTATGGTTATGGGACGGTAGTTGGCTGGATTGGAACGACTACCTCCCTTGTGAATAGGAGTAATCATCCCGTGTTTCCACATGTCGGGCACGTACATTTCTTCAAAACAGTGTTGAAAGAATCGAGCCAAAGGCTCAGCTAAACTCTCTTCTACTGCCGCTAGCGATTTCTTGTGTATATTATCAACTCCAGGAGAGCTGTGCTTGCGCATATTCAACAGCATTTTTTAGTACAGCTTCTGCTGTGAAGGATATGTTAGTGAGTTTTGGGGATGAAACAACCATCGTCATAGGGTTTGGTGGCCAGTGATCACACTGAAACCTTGCAACAAATTGTAAGTGCAGGGTATTCGCCACCACCTTCGGTGTCCGTCAGCTGGTTGAAGAGCAGGAATTCCCCGTTTCATCTTGCATAGACTGTTGACGTATTGATACAGAAGCTTGTGGTTCGAGGCCATACGCGCTACTAACTTCTGCTGGTAAGCCATTTTATCCTCGCGAACAAGCTGAATACAGCGGTTACATCTGGTTGCACAGGCCATCCAGTTCTCGGTACTCGTGGGGAGGTTATAGATATGCCAGGTTAAGCTTCGCACCGCTGCATACTTCCGTGTCCTGCTTTGCAGAAACGAGACGACATTTCTCCAGTGGAATGTCTTAGTCGCTGACTCCTCGGCAACCAGCGAGTTAAACAAATTGACGAAATGTTCCCATGCACTAGCTGGTGCATCGTCTGCCAGAAATGGCCAGTTGACTGTCTCACCTAGTCGAGCAAATAGGTCGTGGCGTACACATGTTCTCCTTGCGTCGGCAATTTCCCCAAAATATTCTGCATGGCAAATGTATTCTAAGAGTAGTATTGCATGACTGCTGCGGCCCAATGGGACGTCGGCGATCACGCTATCGACCAATGAATCGACAATGAATCTTTCCTCAAACAATTTCTTGATGCTCTGGCCACCGCAGAGGATAATCAACGGTGCCCTATCTGCTGCATCGGGCAGGGTGGATAGGGGTTTGGATGCTACTGCTCAAGCCTTCCCGTCTTCTTATTCCCCTTCTCGCGCTTTTTCACCCTTATCGTCCCGTTCCAACTTTACTTATATCCCCCTGTTTTCAACCCCCCAATTCTCGGCCCTCCCCCACCTTGCTTCAATAGTCGCTTGTCTTTTAGTTTCAACTCACAAGTAAAAGCGGAGCGTCATTCCTGCACTGTCAACAGGCCCATGTCCAAGCAAGCGGCCCATTCCAGTTCATCGGCTTCCATTTGGAGCCTTCGATCCTCCTTCAGATTGGCATGCCTCAATGTTCGCACATTGCTTCAGATCGGTCAACAGGCAGCACTTGCCCGAACATTAGAAACCCTCTCAATCGATATCTGCTGCTTATCGGAGACCCGCCTGCAAGACTCGAGCTCTGTACTCACTCTGCGATCCTCTTCAGGTGACACTAGCAGCACTTTCTCATTGCGCCTATCCGGTGACGATGCAGCTTCGAGCACCGGCCAAGCCGGTGTTGGTATTGCCCTGAGTCCCCGGGCTGAAGCTACTCTAGTTGATTGGATTCCAATCAGTAGCCGGATGTGTGCGGTCCGATTGGCTGGCTCATTCAAAACTTCGAAGTTGCGTGGGACTAACAGGTGTCTATTCGTTATCGCTGCCTATGCACCGACAAACTCTAGCGATGACTCCGTAAAAGACGACTTCTATCGCCAACTGAACGAGCTCCTTCGCCACAGAAGAAGCTCGGACACTGTTGTGCTGACCGGGGATCTGAATGCTCAAGTTGGAAAATTATCCACAGATGAACTGCATCTGGGCGGCCAACATGGTATAGGCTCCCGTAATGATAACGGTGAGCGGTTACTTCATTTGTGTGAGGATGCTCGCTTATTTCTTGCGAGCACTAATTTCCGACACAGCACCCGCCGGAGGTTGACTTGGCGCCCACCAGCCTCGAACCAGCTATG